GAAGCCAGGACCGCCTCTTGTTCTCTGAAGTCAAGCTGGCAAAGGGGGATGAGTCAGGCCTGTCTGTACCATGGCTCATACCCAGTTGACTGCTGGCAGATCCACTGCTAAAACACCCAGTTGTTACTGGCAACAAAAGCCTCTTGCAAGAGTGCTCCCTCTACTGGAGGGGTGGAGGAACCTCATTGTTCCAGGTTTGGTACTGTGGCACTTCATAAAATTAGATGCTAACAGAATCCACTGAGCTTCTGCTGGGAGAAATTGCTTAGGACTGCAAAACAGATGGGCGCTTCCAGAGCGCAGCTATTGGTGCTTTGCAGAAGGCAGGTGAGTCCTATCTGGATAGCCTCTTTGAAGATACCAACCTGTCTGCTATCCATGCCAAACGTGTAACAATTGTGCTAAAAGATACCCAGCTAGCATGCTGTGTACATGGAGGATGTGCTTAAGAATCCATGAGGATGTTATCAGTAGTTCTGAATGTTAGAGTCTCCCCCTCCCCCCGTGGGGTCAAAAGGTACCTAAGTACATGATTGCGAGTGGAAAAATAGAAGACAGACATCAGGGATTGGAAGTATTTTCAATTTCATTTGTGTGTGAATTTTTAATAGATGGCAGGATGTAAGTCACTAACTCAAGTCAAATGTCTCACTGAACAAGTGTCAGCAGTTGAACTTTATAACAGTAAGTATAAATAAGCCTGTTAATTTTTTTCTGGACAATGCCAGCATTTGGATTTTGTTTTTGTTTTTCTTATTGATGGCAACCAAATAGTGTTTGTAGCATTTTTATCATAGAGTAGATTCCATCCATTCACTCTACTTTTTGGAGTTGTCCTACATGCAAGTTTTTTTTTTTGTTGTTGTTCGTTTTTGGTTGTGGAGCTTGAAGTCAGGGCCCGGGTGCTGTTCATGAGTTCTCTTTGCTCAAGGCTAGTGCTCTATCACTTGGAGCCACAGCTCTACTTTCTGTTTTTGAGAGTTAATTTGAGATAAGAGTCTCATGGGGATTTTTCTGCTCAAGCTGTCTTGGAACCATGGTCCTCAACCCTCCTGAGTAACTAGGATTACAGGCATGAGCCATCAGCTCCCAGCAAGCATGTGTTTTTAATGTTGTCTGTCTTCTGTGCTGTTCCTGTTAAGTTTGTTATTAAAATACACTAAAGTCCAAAAAATGTATTTAGAAGAGGGGTTGGTGGCATGGCTCAGCAGGTAGACTGCTAGCCAATGAACAAAGCATCAGGTATTGAGTCTGAGTCCTGCTTTTGCAGCTAGAAAAAAAGAAAAGAAAAGAAGTGTTTAAAAGACCTAACCTCAGAATATGAAGTGTCAGTGAAAGTAAAGGAAGGAAGAAGAGTAAAGTGATTCCATCAAGGTGGGGAATGAGCAAGTCTAAGGAAGGATGTTTGTTTAACAGCTAGCTGAAGGCCAAGGCAGGGACAGGACTAGGTGCTTTCACCATGAAGAAATGACATGTGAAGGCAGAAAGTGAGAGGGAGCATGCCACATGATGTGCTGGGACAATTTCTGTATATCTGGGACTTGGTACATTGAAAGAGAGGTAGAGTGGTTAGAGATGGGCATAGGCAAGCTACACCGAGGGGGCTCATGGGGTTGTTATGATCTGGGTTATGAATGTGAACTTCAACCTTTCATTCTAAAGACCATTGGAGTTCCTGGTACTCTGGAGCTGTTTGGAAGAATATGCTGGCCACACAGCCAACAGTGCATTTTCAGGAAGGTTCTTCAGTGAGACTGACCAGTGAACAGTTTGAAGATCAGTGAATCTCTTACCCAGATCAGTGAACAGTGGAGACTCTTTAACATTATTGGCAGAGTTCTTCAAGGCAATGGTCCAAGTAGACTTTCCATGATCTGGGTAAGAGATTACCCTGGCTTTGCCTGGAGAAAAGTTAGACGTGACAGAGGAAAAGAATCTAGTTCACATGATTTGTAGGAGACAAAAATAAAGAAGATTTGGTAGTACTGACTGGGATGTGTGTGTGTGTGTGTGTGTGTGTGTGAGAGAGAGAGAGAGAGAGAGAGAGAGAGAGAGAGAGGAGGGGGAGGGAGAAAGAAAGAGAGGGAGGGAGGGAGGAGGTGGGGAGGGAGGGAAAGGAATAATCTCCCATGAGCAACAGTAATTTCTGTGACAAAATAGAAAACAGATCATGAATGAGGTTCAAATTGGGATGACTAGAGGCGATGAACTTTGTTGATAATGAAATTAACACACTAAGTATTGAGTCTGAAGTGCCAGAAGAACCCTATGTTCAGTAGATAATATCATACCTTAAGTTTAGGAGAGTTTTCTGGTGTGTTTGAGTAATGGAAGCATGGGAGCAAACACAATTGCTTGGGTTGTTGTAAAGAGGGAGAAGATAGAAAGTAAAGTCTTGGAAAGGCTCTTTCCATTGACTTCAGCCTGTTGACATTTACATATGTCCAAGCTCTTCCCATTCTGCAATACACATTTAAAATCCCTCCTTGGAATTCTCAGCTCTTTATTACCATTTCACTTCTGCTCTTTAAAATAAAGGTCATCTGCATCTATTTCTCAACCCACTTCACTCAACCCCCATTCAAGGCTTTGTCCCCATTAAACCACCACAGCAGTTCTCAAAATAATCCACACTCTTCATTCCTTTGACAGCTGTGAAACTATTTCAGTGGGGTGTGCTACTACTTCATTGGCTTTTCCAGTTGTGTTTGACTAATAATAGCAAGCACAAACATCCACTGGAGAATAGTCAGTGTCTTCTGTTTCACAGCAAAATGTTTAGGCAAACTGTTAGTGAGTGAGTGGGTCCAAATCTGTTTCCTGACAGAGGACCACAGCAAACAACCAATCTACACGAGCTCATTTAGGGAAGGGTCGGAGAGCTGTGATTGTCCATGCATGGAGGAAAGAATTGTCTTGAGAGGGAAGGAGAACTGACAGGAAGTGTAGCCCAGGGGAAAGAGTTCAGATTTCAGACTCAGATTCTACATGCTTCACATTTCACCCTCTTAGCCTTTGCCCTCAGTGGGCACAAAGATCGAAATTTTCTTGAGTGTCCACAAGAGGGCAGCATCAAGAAGTCAGAAGCAGCAAACAGCTGATTTCAGTAGCAGTATCTATGTATAGGAGCTTTCTGGTGTGTAATCTCCATTCCGGTAACTCCTGCCTTCCACCCCACATCACATTCTCATTTCCTAAAGTGATCTCAGAAGAATTGAATAGGAGTCAGGCCTCAGCTTTCTTTGGGCATTTGGGACCCTGAGTCCCAGTTCACTTATCTCTCCTCTTACTCCCTAGGGCCCTCAGAAAAGGTATATATGGGTGGTGGCCTTGGACAGAGGCATTGATGATGGATGGACCAGCTTCAGACCAGGGACAGGAGGCAGAGGGAGGTTTTCTTGGATTTTTGCAAATCCTTAGGAACTGTGTACTGCAGGGAAGATGATGGTAGCTTAGTTCTGAGACATACCCAAGGAGAAATTTCTTCAAGCCTCTGAGAGGTTGTTCTAACCTTTGTCTACAATTCTAGCCTCCTACCTGCCATTTAGGAAGCAAGGCAAGGGGAATTAAGTTACCCAGGAAAATGTAAAATGTGTGTGTATGTGTGTGTGTGTGTGCGCGTGCATGTGCGTGTGCGTGCGTGCGTGTGATTGGTAATAAGAAAGTTTTGAAGCTGAACTAGAATGTTGAGTTGTAGCCACGCTGTAAAAGTCTTTGTAGACTGCAGAGCTGTTTATCTTGAAGGCTGGGGAGAATCATTCTGTAACTTGCTAAGCAGAAAAACAGACACTTCCAGTCCTGCTCTTTAGAGACAGGGGCATGGACAGTCCATCAGAGACAAAGCACACAGTTGGAATGGATCTTATTTGGGCAAGATGAACATGAGGCCCATAAAATACCCTGTAGAAATATCAAGCAGGTGGTAAGTTTTATGGCTGGCCCTCAAGCCAGAGGTTCAGAACAGAGTGTCCTGTGTAGGGAAAGAAGCTGAGCCTGGTGTGAAATACCCACCCGGGAGAACAGGTGGAGAAGGGGGTGTGCGTGTGGTCAGCAGATTGCAGTGGCGGCAGGGGGATTCACTCATTTTCCATGGATCAGCTGCATCTGCTTTCCATGCCACACCCCAGCTGCTGACTCTCCATGTGGATCTTGGGAGATCCGGAGGGCAGGTTCTGTTGTACTTTTTGTTGAGGACTGGTAATCACAGTTCTTTTTTACTGCTCCCCCTCCCCCCACAGATTTCTAGAACACCAAAACTGCTCTACACAGCTCTCTTCTTCTTCTTGTTGTTGTTTTATCATGTAGGAGAAAGAAATTGTATTTTTAGAATAGATTCCTGGGCCATCTGCTAGAAACTGATCTCCTGAGCTTGATGTATTTCCTGGGCCATGGTGTTTTTAGTTACTTCAGATGGTTCTATTAGGAGAGTTTTAGCCACACTACAAAGATATAAACATAAACTTCTGTCTTGAAATCCTGTTCCAGAGTGAGAACTTGCTTCTTGTCCTAGATCAGATTTTAGTAGATCTTAGAGGCAAGTGGAGACTGAATCTCAAAGTCTGGACCTAAATAATCCAGAAGAGCTCAGGTCAGATGGAAAGTCTGTGCAAACTTGTCTTCTCTTTGGAAAAGTTGCTAAGACCAGTGGCCTCTTCAGCAGCATCAGAGTTGAAAATGAACTGTTTAGTCTGTTCTGTGAGTGGGCATTCCCTCCCTAAGAGGAATAGGATGAATATTTTCTTATGTCATGCTGGGAGCACTGAAGGACAAGATAAGATTTGGGGTGTTCAGGGAGGTTATATAAAGAGAATCAGAGTAGCGAGTTGGGAGTAGATCCAGAATTACCAGAAATACATAGTTGCTTTTCACAGTTGCTGCTTTGGTGCCCTTTTCTTAGAAGTTTTGACTGTTCTCCAAGACAAGACAAAATGATCTTTCTCTTCTTTTCTTTCTTAGACTCTGCATTTGGGATACAGAAGTGACAGCTCTTGGCTCTGGTCATGGGCACTCCAAATAGAACTCTGATTCATCCAGCCTATTTCCTACTGGTGGGCATTCCTGGGTTGGGTCCTAACACACACTTTTGGCTGGCTCTCCCACTGTGTTTTATGTATGCCCTGGCTACTCTGGGCAACCTGGGCATCGTTCTTATCATTCGTGTGGAGAGTCGCCTGCATGAGCCTATGTACCTCTTCCTAGCCATGCTTTCTACTACTGATCTCATCCTCTCCTCTGTTACCATGCCCAAGATGGCCAGTCTTTTCTTGACTGGTGTCCAGGAGATCGAGTTCAATATTTGCCTGACCCAGATGTTCCTTATCCATGCTCTGTCTGCCATGGAGTCAGCTGTTCTTTTGGCCATGGCTTTTGACCGCTTTGTGGCCATCTGTCATCCTTTACGGCATGCCTCGGTGCTCACAGGGCCAACTGTGGCCAAGATTGGGCTAGCTGCCTTGATCAGGGGATTTGTATTCTTCTTCCCACTGCCTTTCATCCTGAAGCGGTTGTCGTACTGCCGAACACATACTGTCACACATTCCTTCTGTCTGCACCAAGATATTATGAAGCTGTCCTGTACTGATACCACGGTCAATGTGGTTTATGGACTCTTCATCATCCTCTCAGTCATGGGTGTGGACTCCCTCTTCATTGGCTTCTCCTACATCCTCATCCTGCGGGCTGTGTTGGCACTGTCATCCAGAGGGGCAGCGCTCAAGGCATTTAACACCTGCATCTCCCATCTCTGTGCGGTTCTGGTCTTCTACGTGCCCCTCATTGGGCTCTCAGTGGTGCACAGGCTGGGCGGCCCGACCTCCCTGGTCCATGTAGTGATGGCTAATATTTATCTGTTGTTGCCACCGGTAGTCAACCCCATTGTCTATGGAGCCAAGACCAAGGAAATCCGCTCAAGGATCACCCATATATTCTCCCAAGGTGAGAGGTGAGGAGTTCTAACCTAGTGTCCTCAATACTGCCAAAGATGAGAGGAGGAGGATTTGGGGATTGTCTAAGTGAGTAGAAAATCCGACTCACTGGACTTAGGATTCACAAAGATGCAAGGTCTATGTGCCTCTGGTCATATAAAATGATATTTATCGGAATGAACTCCAGGAAATGAAAACTTGAGGTTTTGTCCTTGTTGCTGTTTTTGTTTTCTTTTCTTTCTGTCTTGTTTGTTCATTTATCTGTCTTAGGTAGGCAAGGAAGACACAGAAAAGGTGGGACAAAGGGTGAACAAATACAGCAGTGGTACTCAGTAGACATTATGTTGAAAATGAATTCTGGAAGTGGCACTGTGCTCAAGTGGTAGAGTGCTAGCCTTGAGCTGAAGAGCCGAGAGACAGCGCCCAGGCCCAGAGTCCAAGCCCCATGACCGACCAAAAAAAAAAATGAATTCTACAGCTTGTGGGTGGGGACAGGAGGAAAAACTGGAAGAGAGCAAGGGAAGGGTGACATTGTTAAAAAAGAAATGTACTCTTTACCTGACTTGTGTAACTGTAACCCCTCTGTACATCACCTTTACAATAACAATGAAAAAGACAAACCCTTATTACTCACACTCCAGGGTAATGATACAGTCACAAGTAAGCATTAATGAAGGTATTTGGGGTATGGTAATGGAAAGAGACTGATAAAAGATGACGTATTCTGGTTGTTGGTGTGAGTGTGGATGTGTTTATGTGGATGTATGTACTTTGATGTGAGAGGAAAGGGGGAAGAGGTGGTGGAAGGAGGGGATGAAATAAACCTGTTTTGTCTGGTGCGGTGAGGATTGTAGTTGTTCTTTGACAAGTAGGTGTATATTTCCTGTACCTTCCCTGTGATCCTGTGGTATTAGTCAGTTGATGTGTGATATGCGTCTCTGTGAGAATGCTGTATGGTAGACAGTATTCTATGTAGGCTTCATCAGAATGCTTCCCTCACATTGGTTACATATGGCATAGAGTACACCAATGTGTGGGATCTATATATAGTATTAGTGCAGCTGTAACTTTCAGTATGTGTTGTATTTACCTTTGTCAGTTGTGTATAATATTTCGCTATGAACATAATATGGTGATGATTATACCTTATGGCAAATGTCTGTGGCATGGTAGGCACACACTTCCTTTGTGTAGTTGGTCTGGGTGGTTTGGCACAAGACTGAGCACAATCTTTGTGTTCCTTGGCCCTGACACATATGTGGTTTCTATGTGGAGATGAGGGTAGAGGTCGGAAGTTGAAGAAGTCTGACTGTTGAGTAGAAGACACAACTTCCAGTGTTGATAGCTATGACTGTAAGACATGCGGATTCTCGGGCTGAGCTCAGACTGAGGTTGTGGCTCTAGGATTGAGAAGAAACACGTCTTATTTTCACCCACTCCAAGCCCAGACCCCACAGTATCCATCTAAACCACAAGGATTTCGGGTGTTCATCACCTCTTCCTCTCTTCCCTGCCTCTTCTCCTTGGCATTGCCTTCCCTAAGGCTTCCATAGCTGGGCACAGCTGGTCTGCCAAATACGTTTGAAAGGCCTTGATTATAGCGGTTCCTGTTAATCTCTTTGGGGAAGCAAAGCCTAGAGGAAAATGACCGTGAGAATGCAAAGGACCTGGCCTCCCTAGGGGACGCTTCACCGTACCATCATGAGCCACGATGTGAATGGTGCAGGCATCACCACCATGGCTATGTGAGGCTATCCTGATTTGTGGTTATGGCACTGATCAAAATGCACTGTATTCATAAACTGCTTTGTGGAATGGCAACTCCTTTGTACAACGGCTTAATGATAACCAACCTACTCAAAGAAAAGAAACCATTCGTTGTCTCTTAATAAATAGTATTGACAACATTTCAGAGAAGTTGCAATTTATTTCCCCGGTGTTGGGTTCCAGTTTTGAAATAAAATTTACACAACTCTGAAAAGAGTTTCCTTCCTATCTCTTCATCTAGGAAAGAGAGATCATGAGACAGGAATTAGATGGGATGGCAATGGGGATGAATGGCTTTGATTCAGGGGCCAATTACTTAACCTAATAAACTTCAGTGATTTGGGGAAGTACCAACACCATAAAATCGAAATGAAATGTAGACCCTGTTGGACAAGTGTGGTGACTAAATAAGACATTTGGTGTGAATAGACATAGAAAATAATGACCAATAAATGTTAGCAACAATAAATGGTGAAGTAGTTGGGTGCCCATAGCTCATGCCTGTAATTCTAGCTACTCGGGATACTGAGATCTGAGCAATGCAGTTCAAAGTCAGTCCAGGCAGGAACGTCCATGAGACTTTTATCTCTAACTAATCACCAAAAAGTTAAAACTGGACCTGTGGCTCATGTGGTAGAGTGCTAGCCATGAGTCAAAAAAGGTCAGGGACAGGGCCTAGGCTCTTAGTTTGAGCCCCAGGACTGGTACACTATAAATGAATCAATAGATAAACAGTAAAACTGACAACATGAGATGTGTTAGCTTCATCCAAGCCATAGTAATTCTAAGAATAGTAGTCCTCAGTTTTCATAACTAGCTTCCATGCCAAGGCCAGAAGCTAATCTCTTGTGTAGATTTTCATTTGTTTGCTCTTTTGTATGCCTAGTAATTTGATTACCTTCCAGTAGTTATCAATTTCCCTTGGTATCTGACATTTTTTGCATCACTGTTAATATCCTTGTGATTTTTTTTCTGGGACTATTTTTTTCTTGGAACTAATTTGATCATTTTGAATCGTTATACTGAACAATGATTCTTTTGTATTCTCAATACAGAAGGATAATCTCTGAATTCTGAAGTCTTTTAATCGGATTGTTAGGAAATAGGAACTTCCTATATTATTTGTGCTATTAAGGGAAGTACATTTAGTATTTCATCATTGTGTGCGCGCTATCAATTCTCGAAATCTTTGACTGCGATTTTGAATTTATTTATTTTTGCAATTATATCACTTTCTCTTGTATTTAGCCTTATGGTTCTTGGCCTTATGTGAGCATTAACCATTGTTACCTCAAATATTTTTAAGTGACTCTCTGTCTTTAGTTAGATTGCTTTTATGCATTTGTTAATCAGGACTCAGCTGGATATTTGTGAGTGTGTGTGTGTGTGTGTGTGTGAACTCATGGCCTAAGTGTGTTTATGAGTTTTTGTGTTTAAGTCTAGCACCGTACCACTTGAGCTACAGCTCCACTTCATGCTTTTTTAGTGCTTAACTGGAGGTAAGAGTTGCCTGCCTCGGCTGGCTTTGAACCGTGTCCTCAGATCTTAGCCTCCTGAGTAGCTGGGATTACAGGTATGAACCACACCACATTTGGTTCAGCTACTCAATACTCTTGTCTTTTGTTAATATGTAGACTTCTCAACTATAATGTTTTACCTTCAAATTCTAACTGGCTTGGTGTTTCTGAACACTTAGCCTATATCTGACTAAGAAAATGCTCTAAACTTTACTTGAATTCCTCTTTCCCGTGCAACTGGAGAATGCACCTTCATTCTTGATGTTGTCGCTAGACTTTTTGTTCCCTATTACCTGATGTCCAGTATCTTGCAAATAAAATGATTGTTATGTATATTGCTCAAGTTTGCATTTCTTAATGTGGTTCTTTCTGTCACTACATTTTGGATAGGAGCAGAAGTTCTCGAGGTATATTCTAAAGAAGTTTTTGCATTCTCAGAGCATATGGGGGGGGGTTGTTAATGAGGGCAGTAGAGGCAGTTTTAAGGTGATGACAGGAAGGTTTATGCTGCAGGTCTTGTAGCACCAGATCTTGTCAGTTATTTTGATGTGGCCTTAAGTAACAATGGTCTATCTTGACATCATCTAATTTTGTATACTTTGAGCAAATGTGTGTTGTTTTGTGAATTAGAACTTAACACTGATCAATTAAAAAGAGAAACAGGGCTAGGAAGGTGGCTCAGTGGTAGAGCGCTTGCCTAGCATGCATGAGGCCCTGGGATCGATTCCTCAGTACCACATAAGCAGAAAAAGCTGGAAGTGGTGCTTTGTCTCAAGTGGTAGAGTGCTAGCCTTGAGTGAAGAGCTGAGGGACAGCACCCAGGCCCAGAGTTCAAGCCCCATGACCGACAAGAAAAAAAAGAGAGAAACAAACTAATGTTACTTTATTTATAGTCATAGTTTGTACCTTATTTCAAAATTAAAGCATTTACTTGTACATTAAAATTATTCTGTCTAGAATGTTCACTATTTTTGTTCATAATGGAGACACCAGATGCCATTGGTCTTATATGGCTGGTGGTGGGATAGGGTAGGGTCAAAGAAATCACATTTTCCTTGTTCAGTCAGAATTTCAGCAAACCAAGACCAGGCAGTGGAAAGCAGAAACACTGTCCCTGGGGATCCCTATTATGGGTTAACCCCACATAGGAGTAAAAGCCTGAGAGACAAAGAAGCCCTTAGGGCTTTGGGTAAGGGAACATGGACTCATTGGATTCCAGGCTTAACAAGGACAAAAATCAGTGTCCACTAGAGGAAAGACAACAAGAGAGAAGAAAGGATAAAAATAGGCTAACACTTGCTCATGGGATCTCCCTGCAATTTTACTTTGCCTTTCTTCTTGCTGAGTTTGATAAGCTTGTCAAGAAACTTAGAGAAAGATGCTTATAAAGACCAAGGACAGGAAAGTGAATTTCTTCTAGTCTTTTGTTACTCTAACTATTGGGAGCGGATATGAATATCCCCGCTGGCAAAGACCCATTTGGGATTGACTCTAGAGACCCCTGCTCCTCCTCCCACAGGAGACACATCCTCTGAAATAGAAGCTGAGAAGGAAAGCAGCCCCCCATTAGCTCATGAGGGGTATCTGCTGATGGAGCCACTGGACAAGCCTGTACCCCCCTAGCAGGGAGGAGCAGAAGGAAGGAGGCGGGAAGACAGAGAATAAATAACCCTGACCAGAGAGGTCCAAAGGAGGAGGTGGAGACAGAAAGGGCTGGGCTTTAGTGCAGCTTGCCAG